TCTTCAACTGAATGTGCTGCATCGGGCCGTAATAAGTTATTGCCTGAACGTAACAGGCCTGATGCAGCACATTCAGCTGAAGCAGGTTCAGCTGGATACAACTGTCAAAACCAAATTCGTAAGCAAATGCTAGTGTTTGTCGAAATCTGCCCAACCTGAGCACAGGTAGAAAATAAGGTTGAAGAAAACTAGGGGACTCGGCCCACCTGATGAGCCCCAAAAGGGGCGGAACCGGTAGTGGGTTGTCAAAGCGTTTTCAGCAGCAATACCATGAAAAAGTGAACTGGTCGGTTTCCGACAGTAGAAGCTGTCATGGCGATGCTCAACAAAGCCTTTCGAGAGAGCTCATATGACGTGAGCAATTGAAAGAAAGAACATTAAGCTTAAGGAATTATCCGATAATCAAAGAGAGCGATCAAACTGCGCCTGTTTACGGTATGCAGCACCAAAATCCCCACAGACGATCGAAAGGGGCGCAATCTGCTGGTTGTCGGTGACGTGTCTTATGGTTTTCTACAACAACGTTGGTATCTATTCACAACGAACTCGTTGAGATCTATGAAAATGTGCACGATACTGGGAAATTTGCCACACCAGGGTTGCACCTGAAACATTGTGAAAGTTTGTGTATGTGGGTTCTTGTTTGGACAACGATTTCGCAACAAACGGTTATAGCAATAGGAAGAGGTTAACTAAGACACAAAAATACTACTGAAACCGACGAAGCTCGCTAGGTGGGGTTATGTGGAAATTACCCACAGTAGTCGTCCGTGGTGCTTTTCGGGTACCGTAATCCAGCCCATCACGCAGTTCCGTCCGTATCGAATCGCATCTGGCAAGGTCTGTTCAGTGCTGGGATCTAATTTCATCAGCGGTTCGGAGAACTGCAGCATCAGTCAGAGTCCAAAAACACATACTATCAGAAACCTATCGATATCTCTAAGGGTTGTGTAACCCTACCATCTGAAATTTGACGGATGGTGCCTTAGTGGCGGATCACAAAGTGGCTAGCTTGTCTAATTGCCACATCTCACCGTTTTTTTTGGAGTCAATAAATTCGCACACCTTGGAATGACGCCTTGGATTCCAAGCCAACATGTCTAATTGCCACATCTCACCGTTTTTTTGGAGTCAATAAATTCGTACACCTTGGAATGACGCCTTGGATTCATATTGTTTCCACCCACGCAAGCCAACCAACCCTACCATCGGTAATTTGACGGATGGTGCCTTAGTGGCGGATCACAAAGTGGCTAGCTTGTGTCTAATTGCCACATCTCACCGTTTTTTTTGGAGTCAATAAATTCGCACACCTTGGAATGACGCCTTGGATTCCAAGCCAACAGTGCATTGAGGTGGAAGAATGACAGCTCATCCTCACCTATCAACAAGGCTTCGGCTAAAGCGACAACAGTACCTGCTAAGTTTTAGAGTACTCATAGACTGTGTTCTTTTGTATCAGGGCTAACTTCTGCGCACTTGTTTGCCCGTCATTAGCAACTCAATGGTTACCGCCGAAATCACGAACCATCATCAGGGGGTTGTTGACCAGTTCGCCGAGCTTATTAATTAGTTCGTAGAAGTTTCCTCACCAGATGAGCAGCTATCACCATCGCACGGCTCCTTGGGATCAGATCAATGGAGGCGTAAACAACAACCACTAAACGTACCAGAGCTACCACTACTTCGACACCATTCCTAGGCAGAACTCTACTTTGGGAATGATGTCACTGTTCGATTACAAATAGCTACTATGGTGGCAGAAACTGCAACCGAGCGACATATTGTTGTTCGGTAGAGATTTCAATAGAAATATCATCTTGTCTGTAAAGCCTATCTTTGATGAAGAGCCGAGAAGCACTGTACAGCTGTTTCATCCTTACTGAGAATCATCGGTAGCGCGCATCTCACGAAACTCGGAATTTCGAAACCACGGTTTTTCAGGTGGTGGCTGAAAATTGAACCGTTTGGCCATGAGTGGTCGATCAGCTCGGCGATTAGCTCTCACTTATCTGCCCCAATTTTCCAAAAATGGTCATCGAAAGGCGCATTCTGAAAGAAACTACCTACTGAAATGACCTCTGTGCAGCATCAAACCGCAGTGCAGGCATAAACCTGAGCAAACATTCTCCAGGTAAACGAATAAGTCTAATATTCGTCGGTGAAGAAGTCTTCTATCTTGTTAGTAACCACTTATCGAAAGGGACGAGATGAAAAAAGCATGTAGACAAATAAGGCCATGGGGAACTCACACAGAATACGCCGGGTGGGTTGCTGTGATGACTGATCGTGGCCGTTGATTGTGCGCAACTGCCAACCGCTATCCGTCGAATTCAGCCGCTGAGAATTGAGAAGTACCAGCGATGAAGTGGGAAGACTTGCGGTTTTCTGGTCTTCTGACAAACGACCACCAGTGTAGCCAGGTTTGATTGGATGACCAGAAGATGTTGCTGTTAGGAACACGGGAAATCAACTATGTAATGTGCGAGCAAGATTATTGGAAGAGCAGCACCATACAAACAGGAGGAAGAATCCAAAGCAGATACGAAAATCACAGATTGTGTAGAGAAGATATAAGCTAGTCCATACTCATGGAAGAATGCAAACAAAAAGGTGGGATGAAGTGAGAAAAGTAAGAGTTATAAGAGTATAAAGGGAGAATTCATGACTTTACTCCGGACAAACAACGGAGGGTCTACACGTAAATTTGGGCTCAAAACAGGACTTTTGGTTGTGGGTAGATGAGAAGAGTAAAAACTTTAAGATCAAAAGGGACATTTCTGAGAGTGGCCTGATTTTACTCAATCAATTGAAGAACAAACCGATAAGGTTTTCATTCGTTCGCTCTGCGTACATACAGAGCAGTCACCAATTTGAAGACACGGAACCGACTAAAAGCGGCATTTCGGGTAGTTTGAGAGTTGTACGCAGTGATGTGACCCGGCGCTCTTCCAGGAATATGCATAAAATTACAAAGTCGACACCCAATGTTAAATTTTATAGATTGATCAGTTAGTTTGATTATATGAGGTCCGATTTGACCAGGCTGTTGTCATCCAAATGTCCTAAACTTATTCCGGCAAAAGGGAAGGGGTGCTCCGCATCGGTGTTGAACACTGATGTCATGCTATCGATGATGATTTGATGATGCTCCGCTAAGTGAGGCACGCTGCGGCGGAGTTTCATTGTGCAGCATGCAATGGTGGGCGTAGTAGGAATAAATAAATAATGTACTACTCATAATGTTGCTGAAAATCCATCGACAGCCCATGACCGGTTTCGCCCTTTTTAATGCTCATCAGGTGGGCACAGTCCCCGGGTTTTCGTCAACCTCATGTTCTACTTGAAACCAAACTGCACGGAATTAGCGAATAAAACACTCATTTGCAAATGAGTGTATATTCGCTAGTAAAAAGTTTAGTTTAGCAGGAGTTCCCAAAACAAAGATGGATCTCAACCAACGGTAAGGTATTCATAATAAATACCACATTATTAATGAACTAGATTAACGAACAGAATCCTGCTCAATCCTGTTCATTGGAGAAGGATGCAGCTGCAACTTAGCTGAGTTGTACCGCATTTCCTGATGAAGCTTAACTGAACCTTTTGGTTAAAGGATCTGTTGGAGGTCCATGAAAGCATCCTCAGAGTAGGCTCAGTGTACCACATCCAGCACGACGGTTTACGCCTCAGACTCCACTCACCGAATAATTTCTCCCAGTGGTTGACGTCGTTAGTTGGATCATCACCTTTCCATCCATTGTCAACCAAAAAACAGGCGGTTGTTCAAAGTAAATTAAAACGATGACAAACTTCCTAAATTAAAACAGACAAGAAGCGTGTTGCATCATACAAAATCTTTCTGGATACGACCATCTGCTTCATAAAACCAGTATCTAAAGTATTTTCGTAATAGTGTATGTATACTCAGGAACTCGTTGAGTCGACCCACTGTTAACAACATACAGTTGCAGAAAATACCATGTAAAAATATGGTAGCTATTAGGAGCTCTGAAAAATCTTTCCCGTAATTTATTACAATGCTTACTGAATAAACCATTTGGCGTTTCCTGATGGCAACTAAGCATAAACGTCGACGCCCGGAAACAACGTCTCGGTTTACTGACTACGGCTGAGTGGCAGTGGAAAAAATATCGCCCACCCACCAAATAGAGCAAAGGTAGGTGCCTTTCAGCAAGAAGCTGACCAGAGAAACGATAAGAGTTACTGCCCCAACAAGGTGTTGAAAATAGGTAAAAACTCATAAATTCCATGTAGATCAATTTTTCTCGGATATGAATGTCGGTAAAACGAAACTGAGTAGAAGGGGGATGATAAGGGGCATTTACTATTCGTAAGCAAAAGGCAAGCCACTCCGTCTTACCATCAGCATACCATCCAGACAGTCGTTGTTGCAACATCATACAGCGCTTGCTACAATCGATGAATCTTGTACGGACATGTTCACAGAAGCCAGTGTTGATAACGAAGCCTGTTTGTCCAGGGAAGTCGCCACATGTGCACTGTCCCTTTGGGACGAAGAGTAGTCGACAACTAACAAAATATCAGCTGCATTCACATGTAATTACTAACCATATAGTGTAATCATTTAGCCACTGATCCGTTATCTGACATCCGTAACAAGATATTTGAGTGTGAAAATAAATACCCGAGCGACGTTCACTCGAAATCGTATTCTGAAGCATACGCAACATTCCCAGAAGCTATTTTTGTCCCAGTCGCCAAATTGAGGCTCTTAGGGGTGTGGGTGACGGCAACCTTTCAGACGGATCGCAAACTAACCCAGACTCTCTACACAATCCTTGCTACAGACGTATTCTCTCGGTGCATATTGTTGAAGCACGTTTGTACCAATGCATAAACTAATGTGTGTTTCCTAACTTGCTCTGGTTTAACTGTTCACGCATTGCATGCAGAATAAGGAAGGGTGCCATGGATTAAGTAATGGTCGGAAATAATCACTCAGCTGTGAAACCCTTATGGCGCCGAGCTGCCATGCACCGCTGGTTGAGAAATCGCCAGGTCGCTTAAGCCTAGAAAAGGGTAGTTAAGATCCCAGGGTTGGTTTCGAACCACTGGCTTTCCGGTCAGTAAGTTCGCACTTTAACCAGTGACCTAACTCAAGCTCCATGATTTAATTTGGAATGCTGGTAATCAGAAATTTTCCAACCCATTTTTCCAACCCAACTACATACATTACCTAAATCAGGTACGTATACACCCTAGCAAAAGAATTATTGATAACCGGAGAGCCCCTTATGCTCTCATCCAGAGAAAAGTCAGTTGGCCGACGTGGTAAACAAGATAACATGAGACTCAATCTATTGCAAACTACGAAAAGAGATGGGCGAGTTGGCTGCTGTCTCCAATAAACAAACCGAGCAACATGACCTCGAGGAAATGCGACCACATTTGGCCACCAGACATGATGGTGGTGGCGATGGTGGTGCTAATCAGGCTACAGCAACCCAATTTTCGGCAACATCGGTTTGGAATGTAACTTGGACAAATACGTGTGTGTATCTGTACGCTTTTCTCATTCTGGGTATGCATCGTGTGTGAGTCAGGACAGGACAGAAGTAACACGTCACAGGACGATGTAAACAAACGAACCAACAAATAGCGCACACGCGTCTTCACACTCTGGTAGTCGCAGCCAACTGGACCGAATTCCGGAAGAAAGCGTGCTGTTAGACGGAAGAGGACAATGACCCTAACTAACGGAATCCGACGAGCAGTGGGTCACGTCAGACGAAAGAACAAGAAAGCTACGTCAATCAAACTTCAGACATTACCGGGATCATAGAAACGGATTTTCCAGTTTGAAAACGGCTGCATTACTTCATTCAATCGACACGAATTCAATTTCGTAGAGACGAGGATCCGAAGATACAAATACAACTGTTCGCGGACGATATGACTGTCAGACGGCACCCCAATTCAGGTATATGAAACTGGTTGTGTAAGCAAGTTGAAACAACTTGTGCTATCAACATAACAAGCGATGTCACCATTCCAAGTATGGGTGTAAGAAACTTGGCTCTAGAGGCACCTGGATAGTCTAATGTCACCGGTCATGGATAACTTGTGAAAGATAGTGGCCGAAGAAACTTTCTGGTAGTGCAGCATTTGAAAATGCCATGGTTGCGCCGACAGCAGAGCATACCTTCTGCTTCCACCAACAATTCTGGAAAGCAAACAGTATCGTGGTACTGAAGAACTTACTGAGGAAGTCCAGTCAAATGCTGTCAAAAATTACATTAAAATTGCACATGTCACATATCCACATGGACGACAAGTAAGCGATACTTATGCTAGTAAGCCGAATCATACTGATGAAAGAAAGCTGATTCTCGGCAGATCACAATCGACACATTCACAAGATCAGCGAGCGGAATGAGATGGCAGATTTTAGTGCTTAATTAACAGATTCCGAACAGTGTGACACCTGATGGCTTTGTCTAGAAATGGAACATTATCTAATATGAAATAGAACTCATCTCTGTTAACAGAGTCGAAAAAAGTGACTGATCCCACTCGGACAATGCATTTGACAGTGACATGCAGATGGGACCTAAAATAACACAAGAGAACAGCGTTCGGAAAGACAAACCCGAATTCAGTGAATCGGAAAAGTCCCATGCATACGTTCGGAACACGAATATAATGCACATAATGCGCGCAAGTAGGATCTTAATCGATCCAGGGAATTTCGAACGACAACAATAAAAGGACGAATTGCATCAATTGATGCACATCAAAAGCCCATGATGTCCATGCTCACAGTCGGTCCATCAGACCGAACCAAATAGTGTCGCTTATTGTTCGCAGTTACACTTATCGGTGGTGCCTTTCAGACCAGTGTATGCCATAGAAAATGTTACAGAAGGGAATCGAGTTCATGAAATGATCACTATGTGGGATGAAAAGAACACAACTTACAATGCACCAAAACAAAACCTCTAGCACAAACCGTGTTCACCTAGCAGACTAATCCCGTGCATTCGCACTACTAGGAACTCTGTTTCCACGCCTCTGTGCAGATCCTTACTGAGCCTCGTTCATTTCGAATATCACTCTCTTCATCGGAAATCAACTAGCTGGATAATTCATTAACACATTGTGAATGCCTCCGATCGTGTTTCCGTTGCATACGCAAATGGACTACAGAGTAAGGAGACCCTCTCAGAATCAGTAACTCAGGGGTGGGAGGGATAGAGCCGTTGCGGAACAACCATAGTGAGCACAGCGACCGCCCAGAACAGTTGGACTCTATTGGTTGTCCATAAACAGTTTTTCAAAGAGATGCTTTGGAGGAAAGGAGTAGTGACATAAGGAAAATGGGTATTATAGTCAGTGGGAAGTCGTGCTACGAAGTCTTTCCGGACGACAGGAAACACCTGAAGAACTTAAATATGGGAATTCTGCCAGGATTAGATGATTTGAAGATAGAGACATCTGACGCAGAACAGCAAGTGAAGACAGGGGAAAATGTGTTGATGACGAGATATGGAGGATAATAGTTGGTTGCGAAAAGTCGGGCAAAGATACCCCAAATTTCTATCGCAAGAGTTTTGGAAATGACATTAGAATCAAAAGTAAAACTGGAAGAACAGAAGTCACGGGTCATTCCTTTGGACCGATTCCCGAACAAGTGACCTCTGGCACTTAATCTGTCTTTGGATGAGTGAATATGTGTTTGGCTTCGTCTGTACAGGAGTTAAGGGCTGCAAGGTAGGCCGTAAATGTCACTGCTTGCTCCGCAAGTAAACATGGGTTGTATGTCTTCCCAGGATTATGGCGTGAAGAATGGACTGAGTTTCATTCGAGTCTATCAGTACCAATCATATAGCAGTGGATTTTGTGAGAAGATACGCTTTACAGAAAGGCGGCACCTGATGAGAGAAACATACCATTGGAAGTAGGGGTTGCAAGCTTTTTAAAGTCATTAAGGTCCGATTGATGAGAACGAACTCCACATTCTTCTGGCGGTAATGTGGTGATCTCTCTGAGAGAGAGATCTTGACTCAGCCCGTGAAGACATTGTTTGAGGATCACAATGCTTTTTCAAACGGAGAGTACTCCACAAAAATACCACCAACGCAAAACGGTATGCTACCAATTTCCGGACATAGGCTACTAATAACGGACATAGGCTATCAATAACAGAGGTCACAAAACGCCTTCAATGTGAGTTTTCCTTAAGGGACGGTGCATTGTGTGGCTACTTCAGTTGAAAATGTATGGGAATAGACCAGTCCCGTCCATAGATTATGTGACCATACGTATTTGTGTAGCGCAGAACGAGCGTCCAGCCCATTGCCCTCCAGGCGCGTATTCGGGATCTATTTCAGTTTGAAATCTGAATCCCCTATTAGATCACGGGGAGCCTAGTTAAGATTTGTAAAAAGGGACGAATAATCGTATTTCCAGTTACAAACAGGTTGCCAAATTTTCACACCAAACAATAACAGTCCTCGTGGAAGGTCATGCAAATACACCCTCTCATTACTATGATTGTCCTGATTTGTGATTAGGTGGAAGTGACGTATACAAACACGTGAGACGAATTTGCGAGCAACACGGTACAACGAGAAGAGCAATATATCCGCTTTCGCTATCAGTGCATGCGATAGGACAGAGCGAACCGGCTCACCTGACTGGACGGGTAAGGTGTTAGCACGCGAAGAACTAGTGCATGCATTGGTGCACCAACGAGTTATTGCTAATTGTGGGGAGGGGATATTGAGAGTGAAGGGTGGAGAACGAGTAAATATTCTAATGTCAACCAATAAGGCATGCATGACTGTAGGTTTAGGAATGATCCGACCACCGAAGTCTTAAGATCCACGTTCACGACCCACGCTAAAAATGCCCAAGCCCTATCGACAACACAATTACCGTGGGGAAGGGGGAAACAAAATGTATGATATACAACCTGTGGTGCTTTAGGACGCTGTCGGGGATTCGATTTAGCGGTTAGAACATGATGTCACAACACAAAAATTTGTGAAATGAAAGGGAATCAGGACAATGTGTTACAAGCGGTCAACGATAGTAATTTCCTGAGATGAACGTATGAAGGCGCTGACCAAGTCACATTCGCCGACGCCGCAACATTCATTAAATAGATTTGCTACAACTTGTAGCTACGAATGGAAGTTCAGGTTAAATCGGTATGGATTCCTGCGTTATCAAACACATGAAGGGCCTGATAAACCATATTTTTACAAGAGCTTCCGAAACGATGAATTCTTAGTCAGTTTCAAAGCATTCTCTAATTGATTGGCGAGTGAAGTTTAATCGACTGTAGTTTAAAAAGCTATCCTACAAAGCCCCAGCAACCTCCTTCCACCTGGATTGTTACAAAGTTGATTCTAAGTGACTTTTTGTGGGGAAAAGTACGATCCACACAAGCCAATCGCATCAACTCGCAAACTTGACGCAGATACGAGGGCTGAGCTATCCTCCGAGATTTCAACACAACTTGTTTACCTGAGCTGATTCAATTAACAGAAGTGAGTATAAACTCAGGTGATTCCAATAGCCCGTACAAAATCAGATGGTTGTGTGGATAGAGTTCATTTAGAAACGAGATATTTGGTGTTGTATTAGTAGTTCATACCCCAATTTTGTTATTCGAAATCCGTGGAATCAGTGAATGCATTCATCTATAAATCTACAACAGACTATCTTTAAACTATTTCGAGCGACAAGGCCACAATTTAGCTTTTTTGAGGAACGAAAGTTTCTGTCCAGTTTCCATTACTGATCCGGGGCTTTCCACACAGTCTCAGGCGCCGTCGTCAATATGCAAAATGACGCAGAGCTTTTCTGGCAAGCGCATGCTTGCTTCACCGGCTTACCAGACTCCGGAACTGTGAGAACTGTTTTGGCAAAACTGTTCCCTTCTGGTTCCGTATGTTTTATTATCCGTCTCTTTGCAACTTCGACCCGCGCAACAGCGGTGCGTCATCCGCATGAATCACCCGGAATACTGGAAGCAAAACAAAGTCCCACCGATTGGGCAACCCGTGGGAATTGTGAGGTGAACCGGAACAGTGAACGATAGTCATAAATTACTGGGTCTATGGCAGATAAAGCGAAAGTTTTTTCGGGAGATTTAGCAACAAATAGTTGGTTTGCCGTGCTCTCAGAAGTGTCGAAGTAAAAAGGTTTTCACTGGATTTTTTGCTTTACGGAATTCGAAGCATCATGCAATTTTGTCGTGTAAAATCATAAATGCGTTGGCTGATAATTTTCACACACTACTCGATTTGAAAAAAACAAAGGTTCGACGACAGTGGGTGATAATATGGGGTAGACAACTAGACATTTGATGCGATCTTATCAAAAATGATGGTGTGTGT